AAAAGATGAATAATGAAAAAAAGAGAAATAGTATGGCCTTGTATGGGAGGGATTAAAGAGTGGGACCCAATAACGGTCATATTTTCAATTTTAATTGGATTTTAATCCCTCCCGAACGGGGCCTATATATCAAAAGACATTTATTTTATCAAAGTCATTCAAATTTAATTAGAGACTTTTACGAAATTTTAAATTTGTACTTTCACGACATTTTGAATACCGTGTGACTTTTTAATATTTTTAAAAAAATATTGTTTTAATCCCTTAACTATTTAAGAATTTTATGAAGTCTTAAAAAGTATTGATCGGACAAAATTAAACTTTTTAAATTTCTAAAGTATTTAAAAGTCTAAATTGAATATTCCCTATTAACTCAAAAATATAGCCCTTCGTTGTTTGAAGAATCTTTTAGAATTGTTCTCTTACCCATGCTGAGCGAGAAAACAATATTCCCAGGATGTACATTGATTGTTTTCTAAGTTTTGCTTTTCCCCACCCCCCTTAACTTTTTACACTTTTGTACTCACCCTACACGCCTGCCTCCTTATTACCAACTCCTTCATATATAAATGATACTTGTTTTCAATCTCAATTTTCGGAATTATTACGAAATCTTAAATAAAATCAAAATATTACATTTTTAAAGCCTGGTTGAGTTCCATTTTTTTTTTATGAAAATACATTTTGAAATAGTATTTTAATGTAAAATATGTTGTTTAAAATGAGAAAAAAAAATTGGGTTTGCGTATAATATTATTTTATTGAAAAACGTGTGATTTATGGTAAGAAAGATAAAAATGTATTTTGAAAATAATGAGGACCAAACAATGGTTTAATATCATTTCGAAGTGTTCACAAACTAGTTTTCCGCATCATTAAGGATGTACGAAACGGCAATCATAGCAATAGTTACAATGCGCCAAATAGGTTGTTCTAAATTAACATTTTTAAAATTTCGATAATTTCGATAACATGCTAATTTTAAAATTTTGATTACGATGGTCATATGCTAGCCAATCCATAAATTACCTATGTTATTTTGAAACTCGTTTTGAAAACTATATCGTAGACATATCGAATGGTTTAAATGGACATTGTACATCGAAAAAATTAAATGAGAATCTCAAAAAGAGACGTCTAACTTCGTCTTTTTAAAAAAAAAAAATCAATTATTTCATTAACATTTATTATTTTTATGTGAGAAATTTCTCAATATAATTTACATCATTTTATTATGATATTTTTACATGAGGTATGACATCAAAAAAATTTGAATCGTTACACAGAATATAATAAATTAACATTGAATAAGATTCAAGTTCGTATTTTTTTTTCCTTTTAATCTGTGTATTTTTTTTATTAATTTGTTCTTTCATTTAAAGGAAGAGCTTTCTGTTGGGTATTTAAAGGATGGAATAACAATTTAATAATATCCTAATAGAAATATATATATTATATTGAGAAATTTGTAGCGTAAAAATAATAACTATCAATGAAATAATTGAAAATTTTAAAGAAATGGCGAGTTAGACGTTTCTTTTTTAGATTCTTGTTTAATTGTTTTTAATGTTTAAACGATGTCCATTTGGATCATTCGATATGTCTTCGATATAGGTCTCGAAATAAGCTTCGAGATGACATAGGTGATTTGTGGATTCCGCTAACATACAATCGTCAGCGAATTTTTAAAATAGCATATTATTAAAATTCTCGAAATATTAGTTTGGAATTTCCTACTTTGACGCATCATAACTATTGCTACGGTTAGCCGTTTCGCATGCCCTTGATGATGCGGAAAACTAGTTTATGAACCCTTCGAAATGAAATTAAGCCTTTGTTTGATCTCCATTATTTTTAAAATGCATTTTTCTCTCTTATTTTAATTACTTATTTTTCAATATAATAATATTATGCATAAATTTAATTTTTATTTTTTTATTTTTAATCATACATTATCCATCAAAATACTATTCCAAAATATATTTTTCATTAAAAAAAATGGGGTTCAAACAAACTCTAACTATTATAATTTCTCTTCATTAAAAAATTTGTTTATTTAATAATTTGTAATTTTCTCCGCTCTTTCTCTACATCGTTTGTTGTACATGTTAATTACAATTTGTGCAATCCTCATACATTGGAGATGCTCTTCTATTTGTTCTCGTTTTGCTTGTCACAAGTGTAACAATTTACATTTTGCATTATGGATNTAATAATAATTTGAAAAATGATGAAAGTACAGGAAATTTATACAGAAATTTGAATTCTCAGTCACATGGTGCGGGCCCAATGTATTAAATATTGGAAAAAAAAAATGTTGCTCCCGTTTTTGGCTGTGTCTGTTTTGTTTTTAAATTCCTATACCTATAGCATAGTTGACGAAAAAAAGGCGTGGGGAGGGGTGTATGGGGCGGAGAAAAGCAAAACTCATGAAACAATAATTGCACTGTTGACGTGGCAAAAGAGTATTCTCTTGTCTAGGAGAACAATTTTGTCACTTCAATTGGTATATTTTAACGAAAAATAGAAATGAAATAAGAAATCTAGTGTTTTACTAAAATTTAGAATAGCGATCCCAAATTCAAGTCTATTTTACCTCGCCCTCGGAGAAAGACGATTAAACAATTCCCAATAATGATCCTTGCTGATTGAATCATCCATATAATATGTATAAAAAAAAGAAACTCCAAATATTTGATATCTTTCTATTTGAGCCCTCGTTTGGCCCTCATTATTATATGTTAATTTTTTAGGAATAGTATTTTTTTAAGAATGTGTAGTTGAAAAAGAAGAATTTTTTTATTTATTTATGTGTAAAATTATTTTTTTGGAGTAAAAAAAGAGAGAAAATATATATTATAAATTAATGGGGGCCAAACGGCGAATAATATCTCAATTCCAGCGGCTGGATTAAAATTATAAATTTGATTTGATGATGGTGCACAGGAAAAGCGTTTTATTGCTATGTTCATATGGTGAAAGTCTTATTTGTACTCGCTTGAAAAAGTACACGATATATTTTTATAGGTGCATCATGTTTAATTACATTAAAAGTCATTAATCTTTATTTATTACCACATTTATATTCTAACTTTTTTCTTTATCATATTTTTATTTTTAACATTTTATTGATAAGAAAATTCCAAAATTGTTATTAGAATACTTTAAAATAAGAGTCAAATATTTAATCGCATTTTACACTATTATTTATTTTGCTTATTTAAAAATATAATGGGCAAATGAGTCTTTTTACTTTATGTTAAAAGAAAATTTTGAATGAAAATCATAATAAAAAATAATTTATATTAATTTGAGAATAAAAACGCGATAAAAAAAAAGTTTGAAACATAAATATGACATAAAAGTTATGAACCTTTCTTCAAATATTAATATATAATTTAATTATTGAAAACTGTGGTGTGAATATATTTAGCCCTTCGAAAATGTTATTAAAAATTTATAGCATGTTTGGCTTATCTTAAAATTAATTAAAAGTTTACTTTCTAAATCAATTTTTTATTTTGAAATACATGTACATAAATTATTTTTTTCTACCTTTATTTCAAAATGTGTTTGGCTAAATTATTAATTTCCCTACTTTCAAATAAAAGATGTTATTTAAAATAACTCTTATTTTAGTACCAGAATGGTAATTTAATTGGTTTTAGTGATTCTGCTACAGGATTATGTCCAATATAAGTTGTCAGTGAATATTGAGAGACGTTTGCAAGTGGAAAATAATAGAAACCATCGTGCTACAAATGTCAGTGTAATAATCATATGTAGTCGCAAAATCAAGGTGCCCTTTTAAAAGTTGATTTTTTAAGATGGAATCTCAACTCTTAACACGGTATCATAGTCCATTAAAATTCAACGAACAATTTCGATTCTATTAAGATTCAAAATGAGCACATGAATTATAATCCCACATCGGTTAAATACCGAAATGTAGACCAACACATAATGTTGGGTTACTCTTTTTAATGAGGTACGGTTGACATTTTAAGATTAAATACTAAATCTTAAGATTACAAATCTAAATGAAGTTAATTATTGACAATAAATTATACTGTATCATTTTTCATATGAAATACAATATACTATTAAACAATAAAATAAACAATAAACTTCTATTTCTTTCTTGATATTATTTAGTTTTATCTAATCAAGTTTATTAAATACGTCACAAGATAAAGAACAATTCTCCTACATTTCTTTTCTTTTCTTTTCTTTTCTTTTTTAAATGCTGATAACCTACAAACATGTGTTTCTCATCATATTTAAAAAGTTCCATAAACTAGAAATGCTACATACATGCATAAGAGATGACTCGAAGACAACAACTTCACGATGCAACACCCAACCATATGTATTTGGTGGTACCAAAATTGAAGACTAACAACTTTACAACTCAATGCACAATATGTATTTGGTAGTATCAATTGAGGAATTGAAAGCTCATTGGTGGGAATACCTAATAGCACAAGGTATGCCTTGATGCTCGCAACATCATTAAAGCTTTAAGTCAAGTCAATTACTTGGCCTTTGTTTGGGTTTATTTTCTCTTCTTTAAATTTTATTTTTCAAAGTCAATTATTAATTTTAATCATACATTTTATAAGATATACAAATACGGCCTAAATCCCTCACTAATTTTTTGAAAAGTAAAATTTAAGGAAATGAAAATGAAACGCAAACAAAGACTTAGAAGGTTGATTCGAGATATGGAAATCTTATATATTTCATATCCATACGATTAAGTTGTTGGATTTCCGAATTAGTGTAAAAAGAAATGATTCAACTATAGAAGAATCAAGGTATTTTGAAAAAGTTTCAACAGCCATTGATGGTAATTTTCCAGCTGATTTTTCAAAAGATCTAAAAGAATAGGTTGATGAGCTTGCTTAAACCTCTATTATTTTACATTTGGCTGACTCAATTTTGAGAAAAGTGGGCAAACTGAAAACCACTAAAAATCTTTGGCTAAAATTGGAAGAACTGTATTTGCTCAAATCTACTCCAAACAAGCTTTACTTATTTGAGCATTTTATTAGTTTCAAAATGGATCCTTCAAAGGA